TGCGGCTATCGGCTACCAGTTGGGCATAAATAGAGCAAACACGACTGCAAACGTGTCATTGGGTTTTTATCATACACCGGGTTTAAGGCTAGAAACAGTGACGCCCGAAAGTGCATGTAAACGAATATAAAAAACATCCGCGTTATCTCAAATGTGTGTTGAATCCTAGACCGAAAAAACTGAGGATAAATTCACCGTAAGGAACAACAGGAAACTCTGCAAAGGTCCCTTCGGGAGAACTATTGGAATCCAGGCGCGAAAGCCAGATAAACTTTTCGGCTCTGGCCGAGGCCAGCTCGCAGAAACACAGCTGAGTACCATCGCCGATCACATGAAGACCAACAGAATTTTCCCTGAGGTTACATCACGTACGGACACGCGACACGAATTCGTGATAATTACAAAGTTAAAGCATGCATGTGCTGAAATCTCCACCCGAGGTGTTTCGGCTTTGGCGCGCCAAGGCGTTAAGGGAGTAATGCAAGCGCGTGTCAACAAGTGACAGCACAGAAGTCCACATATCGGTTCTCAACAAAGCGCCTAGTAAGCGTCGAGATAGGTACCGAGAAGTAGAATTACCAACGGATGCACTGCGGTAAATAGTTAAAATTATTCGCAGAATAAACTATCCTTATTACAGTGCTGTGGTCCATTGGCAGGGTGGATTAATCTATGCTAACTTGTGCATCAGTGACGCGTGAGCAGAACCATGTGAGTGAGTCTATACCAGCCTTCAGACGTGCCCTTGATCAACTGCATAGACTGGATACGGACACATGAGTAAAGGCGAGGAAAGCAACTGAGTGGAAGACGAGGGCCGTTCAGAGGGGCAGTGCTTCTGGAAGACAATTGTCGTCGCATGCGCTGACTGCTGAATGAATCAGGTTTTGCGTGAAGCTACACATATGCGTTGTAATCAACTTTAATATTGGAGAAATTTATCTTTATTGGCAGTACTGTCTGTCAGTATATCTTGATTGCAGGATGTAATATGGGTGTCACATCTTTCAACCGATTAGAATTAACTGGGTGGCAGTGTTAATAAGAAGAACAATCGACAAAGCGGTAGGCATATGAAGGCGTGTGAAAAGACGAATTATGAAAGCTTGCCTTGTAGCAGAGATCCAGTGTGTGTGGCAGGAAGGGGCGAAGGTACTTGGAAGCGGCATCGGCCAGTTCTACTAGACATTTCAGCATCGTGTCATCGTCGGGCTCAGCCTCAACGCTCATCGCGACTGCCTAAAAGAGCATTGCGACGAAGCGAAGGTAGGGGAAATGTTTGAATAAGACGAGGTAACTAGGAGGGAAGTAGGTCGCGTTGGAATACACGAACACAACGCGGCATAATGTTCACCCATGCGACGGCAAATATGTAGAAGCAGCAAATGACTTCTCAGATAAACATACAACAACAAAAAGCGTGCGTGAAGTCGAAGTTGTGAAACCTTATTCAAAAAAGAATAGAATATGACTTAAGTCAACAGATGAAATTGATTGGAAATGTAGTAATAGCGAGCCACTGTTCATCGAAGAATAAAGTCAGCGATTATGAATCTGTTAGTGGCGCCAAGCACACATAACAGCAAAAGGTGTACGTAAGATATATGAGGAACCGGGTCTTACCATCAAGGCTGGTTGAGCGAGATCTTTGAGAGCATGCTGTACAGAGGTTTCGGTGGAATTATGCACTAGAAAAGCGCAAAGGGCCCGAAATCCAGCGATCCGAACCTTGAGCGATTGGTCAGCAAGTGCCTGGTTCAACATATGCGCAATGTGAGGCATGTTAGCGGTGTGGTCGGGACCGAACACAGCGGGCACAGATGCGAAGAGATGGCAGGCTATTTCACGAAGGCCAGGATTTTCCGACTTGAAGCATTCGAAGATGAACGGTTGAAACTCCGGCCACTGACAGACTCCATCATCGTCTGACGATAC